TTTAATTTAATTTAAAATAAGTTTTTAATTAAATTAAAGTTTCAGGAAAATGTTTCCCTGTCCCCGCCCACCCTGTGACGTCAGGGCTGGATTCTGGGAGAGCCGGAAGTGTTCCGGACGGACTCGTCGTTGGTCCTCAGCTGAAACCGGAGCCGGGAGCGGAGCGTGGACACCGGGGACCCAGCAGAGACTCACCGAGCCCTCCGACCGGAGCTTCAGTCGACGTGGACGGTGAGTATCTGACCCCCGGGGACGCGACGTCACACGGCGGCTCCGGTTTCCGCCGGTTGCTCCAGCGGGAGGCGTGTTAGCATTAGCCTGTTAGCTCACCGCTGGGATCCGGGGCAGGAAGTGACCGCAGCCGTGATTTCGGTAAAAAAAAAAAAACCTCGGTAACCGTGTTTTATCAAAACGTCACCGAGCGTCGAGTCCTCCGGTTCTGACGGCACTGGTCCCGGGTCCGGAGCCTGGGAGGCGGGTTCGGGTTCGACCCTGGAGCAGAAGCCTCCGCAGGACGGAGACGTTCAGGTTCTGGTGAAATGATTCACACGTCACGTGACAGTTTCGGAACCGGACCCGGTTCGTCCGGTCCGACATTAACCGGAGAGATGACTCTGCACCGGGAGCAGCTGCTGCCCGTTACCCGGACCTCCCTCGCTCCTGTCGGCCTCCTCTCCCTCCTGGGCCCGGTGTGTGCAGCGGATGGGTGCGGTTCTCCGGACACATGTCCCCGGCACACAGGTTCGGGCTGGGCCCGGTCCGGAGGGGGCTGGGCCCGGTCCGGAGGGGGCTGCTCCGGGGGACACGTCTCCTGATTCAACCCAGATGCTGGAGAACATCGAGTCAGGAACCCGCGTCAGACAGGAAGCTTCTTGTTTTCACCTCGAGATCCGAATTCTGGAGAAGATCCAGAACCAGAACACTGAGTCACTGTTCGTGTCTCAGCTTCAGCTCCGAGCTGAAGATTCTTTTAAAGTCCTGGAAGAAGTTCTCCAACTAATGTGCAGCAGATTCAACTAATACACCAAGAACCGTCTGTCTCCATTAGAAACCACATTAAACTCTGGATCCAGATTTCTGTCCCGATCATGATGGTGGATCATCGATTCGTTTTCATCGTTGTCCTGGATCATCGATTCGTTATCGTCGTTATCGTTTATTCATTATCGTTGATTATTGATTCGTTATCATTGGTTTGTTATCGTTGATTCGTTATCGTTGACTCGTTATCGTGGATTGATTAGAAAACTCCCTCCTCACTCTATATTAACAAACCTCATCGTTACTCGTTGCCGCTCTCTTCATTCTTCATCTCTGTTTGTGTAAAATCTGTTTTATTGAATCTGATCGATTTGAAATCAGAGAAAACATTTAAATAACATCCTGAATCTGAACCACAGGTGTTTTTTGGTCCTGAGCTGAAAACACTCGCAGATCTGTTCTCGAACTGCAGCTGATTCTGTTCATCCAGATCTGAGTCTCTCAGAAATCAATCAATGAACTTTCTGTGTCATCCCGCTGCAGACGAACAGGTCGGACCGAACACGCAGAGGTTACTCAAGGTCACGTCTGTAACATCTGTCAGGGTCGAGGTGTGAAATGATTGAGACGTTAAATAGAAGCAGCTGCTGCTCTGACCTCGAGGTCCTCGTCAGGATCCCGTGGTTGAGCTCGGTCCGTCCGCCTGTGAACGGTGTCCTCTCTCTGTTTCAGTTGTTGTGACGGAGCCTCACCGAAGATGTGGAAGGCATCAGCTGGACAGTCGGTCAATGTGGCGGTGGATGACGGAGGGGAAGACTGGGAGACGGACCCTGACTTTGAGGTTTCTGTGCTCGACCTCCTCAGTTGAATTTGAATCCTCCTCTTTTCATCCTTCTCCCTCCTCATCGCCGCTTCTCTCCCCCGTTGTCTAGAATGACGTGTCGGAGAAGGAGCAGCGCTGGGGCGCCAAGACGGTGGCCGGTTCAGGACATCAGGAGCACATCGAGTGAGGAAGACTAAAATCTTTCCCCTCCGTTGCGGCTTCACGCATTGTTGAAAGCCCCGTCACGAGTCTCGTCTCTGTGTCTCTGGGTTTAGTATCCACCGGCTGCGTGAGACGGTGTCCACGGAACACACCAGCCTGAAGCAGAAGGAGCTGGACACCATGCCCAGGGCCTCGCACGGATACGGGGGCAAGTTTGGAGTGCAGCAGGATCGCATGGACAAGGTTAGGATGAGATTAGACTTCAGTATTTATTTTGTTCCACATGTATCGCTGCGTTGATGAAGAGTCAGGGTCTCTGCTCCTCTTCTTCTTCTTCTGTCTCCTCCATCGCTCAGTCACTGATGTTTGTAACTAAATCACAGATCAGTGATTTGTGATCTAACGTTTCTGCTTTAGTCTGAACGAACCGTCTGTTCTTCACTTTGAGGATTCGATGAACCATCACATCTTCAGCTACTTTTTTCTTTTCCAGGTTTAAATCTAGTTTTTAAGAGTCAGTTTGAAATAACGTTTCACACTCAGCTCTGTCCGTCCTCTCTCTCTCTCTCTCTCTCTCTCTCTCTCTCTCTCTCT